ACTAATTCGTCTGACCCTGCATACATTCAGCTCGGCATCCACCGTCGTGTGCTCTCTGTGCTTCCTGTTCATCAGTCTCAGCAGTTACAGGAGCCAGCAGAAGCCTCCAGCCGACACCTGACCCACAGACTTGAACCAGATGAGACTTACCTACTTCTACAACTGTGTGAGCCTTTCTTCTTTATTTGTTTGTTTGTTGGGGTGGGGGGGATGATTTTTGGTTTTGATTTTCAATTTTTACTTGACTTTATTTAAAACAGTTTTATGGGCACCTAACCCACGTATCATACAGTACAATAGTTTAATCATATCTAGAAGAGTTGTACAATCATCACCACCATCAAGCCCAGAACATTTTCTTCCTTCTTGTAATCATTGTTATCAACTCCCCATTTCCCCCAACCTCCCATGCCATAGCCCCCAAAAATGTTAATCCAGTTACTGTGTCCATAGATCCACCCATCTTGGATTTCATATACCAAAAATTGTACAAAAGCAAAGAAAAAAAAACTAATAATAATAGCAAAATAAAATAGGGGGAAACTTCATTCGAAAACTAAGCAGAAAATATTAAAAACTAGAACAACTTTAAAATAGGTCAAAAGGAAGATCAAATGATAAGGTGTTAAATTTTGACCTAACTACATCTACCATAATCCATTTTCCAATGCGCTTGGCATGATAGCAAATGTATACACATCCCTGGTCGATGATCATAGGGAATTCATCGGAGGTTTAATTCACATGTATTTCTTCCCTTTTTATTGGTAACTAAAACAACTTTTAATGGGTGAAAAGAGAAATCAAGTAAGATATTACATTTTAACCTAACTATGTCTACCGACAGTAATCAACTTTACGATGCTCTCTGTGTGATAACAAGCTTATTCGCATCCCTCGACTAGGATCACAGAGAATTAATTCATCAGAGGTTTAATCTATGTGTGGACCCTGCACCACGGACTTGGGGCTTCCGCTGTCATCCACAGCCTACTGCAAACAGTGTTCACAATTTAAGCTCTTATACCATTCCCTCCTTTGGAATTGGATTATATTACTGAGATAGTTTATTGTGCCAGCCTGGTCGATAAACACAAGTGGGATTAACTGAAGGGTGGTGAGATAAATGGCTCAGTGAGCCTCGCCTTTCTTGTCTCTCACTCTTTAATCATTTGGACCAGTGTGCGGCTACCTTGCTTGTTCTGTGCCTCAATTTACAGGCTACACTACCTGTGGGACGCCTAGCCTGTGAACTGTGTCACTGTAAGTTGAGGTCCCTTTAAGATATCTCTGGAGCTGGGGACAGAAGGTTGGTGACCTGGCTGACAGTTGGTGACCTGCCTTGTGATTGGCTGCTGTGCTGAGATAGCCTAGCTCTCTCTATATATAGAGGAAGACCTGGCAGAAGACTAGACTGGAAGGACTGCTAGGGTCTCACAACTCTCTCTCACCGGAGTGAGTTGCCCTGAGCCATTTGTACTGCTTTATAATTTATCAGTTCATTTCTTGGGTTATATATCTAATTATCTTTATAAATCAATATATTAAATTATCAGCAATTTGGTTTTATCTCTCTAGAGAACCCTGCCTAACACAATTACCTACAATCCTCAGATCGCACAGGCTGGTGTGTGTCTTCCATGTGGACTTAATTAATGCCTCATTCTTCAATATCAACCTCTTTCTAGAAACATGCATGTACTGGCATCCATGGTTTTACTTCCCTAGAGAGTCCAGATTAACGCTGCATGCTATGCCAGAAGTGTTTTACTTACTTTCAGTGTTCCTGTGCATTGTATGTGTGGGCGTGTCATGTGTGTTACTTATGAAAAAAAATCACAGTACTTCACCTAAAACATTGATGGTTCAAACCCACCGTGAAGCCAGCACCGTGGAAGAAAGGCCTGGAGATCACAGTACACACACACACACACACACACACACACACACACACCAAAAAAGCCTTGTGGAGTAGTTCTACCCAGTAACACACGGCGTCTCCAGAAGTCAGCAAGGGGGTCCAGGGCTTACTGTGTTTTTTACCCATGAACCCCTAGTGCCTTCGCATGGGCGGTGGCTTCAAAGAGTTGAAGGGAAACATGAAATTGGAGCGAATGGAACGTCCCCCACCCTTTTTGAAGCACCTCGTATCTGTGCTGCGTCAGTGTTGTGTCCTTGAACTCTTCAGGGCTGGATCTGAACTCACGTCCCTCCACGGTGCACTAGAGAGCTGTTTAAGATCTAGACAGTAGCATTTCCCCAAGGACCGAGCTCAGAGGGTCAGGAAAGGAGTGATGGAAACTGTAAGCACAGGGAGGGAGTGGGATAGGCTGGGTCCATTGAGGCGAAGGCCATGGATAAACGGAATCTGAATGTGTCTGGATTGCTGGATGTAAAACAGCTCTGCTCTCTGGAACCAACACCCCAGGAGACCCCACATAAACACACTCCTCTTAATGAGTCGTTATTCCACGGCTTCCTTTGGGCTATTACCTGTTGTAGCCAGTAGAGGACACTAGAGCATTGTACATGCTCCTGCTCAGGCAGCTACAAAAAGTTCTGTCCCTCCCAAGGCTGCAGACGAACCTTCCATGTTACCTGGGGGAAAGTGCCACCTGAAAGCCCCCAACTTTACCATTCTAAAACCCAAAGCGAACCCCACTGCCGCCTCACGGAGAACCCCGTGGGGCTTTCTTGATTGCAATTTTCTACAAGGTTTCCAAGTTAAGCGTAAGGTTTTCAGCAGCTCCTGCGTCCGAAGTGGGGAGCGGAGTCCTTCTTCATTGTCTGCTCTTAGTCTGGAAGTTCCGCTGAAGCCGGTTCACTCTAGGTGACATCTGAAATCCCAGTGACATGGCTTCCAGCATCACAGCCACACAGCGTGACACGCTGACAGACTGAGCGTTGGGACGCCTACCCTTTATTGAGGTTAGGAAAATCCAAGCGGTCTACATTGACTCGCAGAGCCCCGCAGGACGGAGCAGAACTGCCCCTGTGGGTTTCCAAGAAGATTGTACGTCTTCATGGAACTCAAAAGCCTCACCCAAGGGCAGATTGTTGGTGTTCGCAAGGGACCTGGGCCCCGCATAAGTCCCACCTTTCTACTTAGAAGGAGCATCGGTGGTGCTCTGAGTTAGGCATTGGGTTGCTGACCATAAGGTCAACGGTTCAAACCTGCCAACCACTCTTTATTGCCAAAATGAGGCTCTCGGCTCCCACTAAGATTTAAGTCTCAAGTAAATTTAGAGAGACAGAAACTAGATTAATAGTTTCTTAAGGGTATGGCAGGGAGTGGTGGGCAGGGCTGAAATAGGGAGCTGATCATAATAATGAGTACAAGCGTGAAGACAATGCTCTTTAATTATATATACATATTTCGTCTGGGAAACCCTACTCGGGATCGTGATGAGTCGGATTGATCCCATGGCAGTGGGGTTTTCTGCTCATCACTGCTCCCGCCATAAGCCCCTGAAAATAAATAAATAAAAATGGCTGCTGCCCAGAGTATCCTGGCGCCTAGCGACCCTCCTGGACATGAACAGAACCACCTCCTGGGGGTTGCAGGCTCAGACTGCCGAACCTTTCCCCCGCAGAACCAGCACGTCCTGCTCAAGCCTCTTGGACACCTCCATGTGCTGATCTGTAAAATGGGTGGCAGGGACCTTCGCCAAGCAGAACAAGTCAACGGTGTGGGGGCTTGATAGTGAGGCAGTCAGAGGGGACCGCTCAGTGTGCACACCTAGGCCTCAGTTTCTACAGCTGGGAAATGGGGATGACGCAGCAGAACCAGTGCCCTTCACGGGGTGGCTGTGATGAGGCGGACCAAGCGAGAAACCCGTGCCTGGTAGAAAGTAAGGGCCCCATAAATGTTCGGGGTGGCTGCCACTGCTGTCGAGATGGACATCGTCGTCGGTGCTAACCCTCAATAAACCAGGCCTCAGAATCCTCTCACCCACCTTCCTCATGCCTGTCTCCAGGTAGAAGCCTCCCTCCCACCTGGGAGACCACTTGAATGCTGCCCCTTCAAGCCTTCCTCTCTGAGTCCCTCCCTGACCGAGACTTCTCCTGACAGACTTTGACACGTTGTCAGGAGGGACCGGTCCCTGGAGAAGGACATCGTGCTTGGTAAAGTGGAGGGGCAGCGGGGAAAAAAAGGATGCCCTCCACGAGATGGAAGGACACAGTGGCTCCTACAAAGGGCTCGGGCCTAGGAACAATGGTGAGAGTGGCGCGGACCGGGCAGTGTTTCACGTTGTGGTCTGCAGAGGGTCGCTGTGGGTCTGAACCGATTCGATGTCGCCTGATAGCAACAACAGAGGAAAGGGCTGGCGTGTTTTTCTCCGCGTTTCTGTCCACACAATCCTACTGGCTACTGGGGCTCGCTTCCAGGAAACCCAGGTGGGCGGCCTGCAGGAAGTCCACCCCCTGCGCCTGGCCTCAAAGGAACAGGATTCCCTGGACTTGGGAGAGGGGACACTGGTGGCGCCATGGGTTAAGCTCCAGAAAATCCGGCGGTTCAAATCCACCAGCTGGTGGAAGACAGAGGTGGCCGTCTGCTTCCATAAAGATGGCATCCAGAAACCCTATAGAGCAGGGCTCCTCTGCCCCCAGGGTCACTATGAAGATCACGGGCGTGGAGGGGGCAGCTTTGGGAAGAGCGCAGTGTAATGAGTGGGCGGGGCCGAGGAGAGCGGGCTGAGTGCTAAGTGGGCGTGGCCCACTAGAAGGAAGGGCCAAGGTTGAACTCTCCGACGGGGCGGGGCCAAACGGGTCGTGGTCGGCGGCCAAGACACGCCCTCCGGGGGCGGGGCTGAAACAAGAGGCGGGGTACGAGCCCGCGCGGCTAGGGGGCGGGGCCTGTAGGGGCGGGGCCTGTGAGGGCGGGACCCATGAGCTGGCTCGCGTCCCGCCAGGTGCGGTCGTTCCCGGGAAGCTGAGATCCGTCAGGGCGGCGAGGGAGGGGCTGGGAGTCACGGAGCCTCAGGCCCCGTCCTCGTGGGAGCCCCGCGGGTCCAGCCCAGGTGAGCAAGGGCTTCCAGGGAGGGGAGCCGGCTCTCTCCAAGTGGGGCCACTCGCTCAGAGGTGCGTGTCTGTCCACACGTGTCTTTGGATGGTGAAGGTGTCGCCAAGTGCGGAAGTGGGTTCCTGGGCTGCACGCGTGTTCGTGTCCCCGGGCGTCCTGGGGCGCGCCCCTCTCCACACGTGTCCTAATGCGCAATAACCAAAACCCCGCCCCCTCGCCCCCCTCTCCGTTGTACTTATTTTTCCGGGTCTCTTCCCTCTCTTGATGCCTTTCCAGGAAGCTCGCGTCTTGGAAGGCCTCACCCCTGCTGCCCCTCCCTTCTGACCTTACTATCCCCTTCTTCTGCACCTGGTTCCCCTCCCTGCCAGGACACTGCCCTCCTCCCCCAGGAGTTACAAGCTCAAGAGCCAGCTCACCAGGGACTTGTTGGGCCCTCCACCTGGCTGCAGCTCTCGGCAACCCTCCCTTTTTTTTTTCTAACAGAACTACCTCCTTTTCTGGCTCAGGCTTCCTCTCTCCACTGTCCCCTCTAAGCCTTGGCCTTCCTGAACATTCTATGTGTTATAGCCTGTTTCCTCCCTCAGAGGAACCCTCCTGTGATTTTCTGAGACAGAACCTCTTTACGCGAGTAGTGAGACTTGGAATGGGCTCAATGGCAGTGCGTGTTTGGGGGTTTGGGGGGGAAGGGGGCAGTTCCCTCCCTCCTTACAAGAAAATGCAAACCTGTTGCCCAGTGATTTGATGCCGACTCTTGGCGATCCTGTGTGTGTGTTACAGAATGCAGCAGTCCCCACAGGGTGCGTGCCTTTGGCTATCATTGTATAGAAGGTTGCCAGCCCTTTCTACCGTGGGCCGCCCCCCCCCATGGGTGTGACCCTCCGACATTTAGGTTCCTAGCAGTGTCACCCTGGGGACCTCTGTTCTATCACATTCCGCTGTTTTAGCACTCTCAGAGATTATCCTCTGCACTCCACGTGTTCTGGTTTGATGTCCCAGCACAAGGCGCGTCTCAGGGAGGGCAGGGTCGTTGGCTCCTTCTTGGCACACCGGAAGAACTCGTCTGATCATGGTTTGCTCGGTGTCGAATGAGAGACCCCACGTCTGTCTGTGGCCTTCTTGTCTTCGGGTAGCTGACCATCCGCCTGCCCCTGGGTGGACAGGTGCTCTCGCACAACAGGAGCATGGGAAAGCTCCCCTCCTTCGCTTCCCCCACGAAGTCGCTCCCTGGGCAAGTGGTGTAGAGCTCGGCTCTGGACCAAAGCTCGAAGGTTCCAGTTCACCCAGATGCGGCGCAGAGGAAAGGCCTGGTGGTC